CCGGACAGGGACACATTCCAGATTGGGGCGGCCGCGCAGGGGACGGGGGTGGGGTGGGGGCTCACATGGGTCCTGGGTTCCAGGTCGTGCCAGCCCGCACCTGTGACAAAGCTCGTTCTCACCACAGCCAGCAGAGATCCAGTCAGGTCGCCCAGGGTCTGGGAGGAAAATGGAAGTATTAATCATTTGTGGATTGAAAAAACTATACATGTATGTGTGGGTGTATATCTGTAGATATGCTTTAATTAATTAATTAATTAATTTTGTTTTTTTTTAGACAGGGTCTCACTATGTAGTTGAGACTGACCTGGAACTTACTGTGTAGCCTAGGCTGGTCTTGAACTCACAGTGATCCTCCTGCCTCAGCCTCCTGAGTGCTGGGATTACAGGCGTGCACCACGACGCCAGGCTAGATATGCTTTAAATGAGGTAACTGAAACAAAATAGTCAGTGTTCAAGTTTTCAATTCTTTATTACAGTAAAGGACATTGCCACGAGTTCCCTCAGAATCCTCCCCTTTGGTCCAAACCTCTCATTGTCCTGCCACCTTCTGGAGCAGCTCTGGAGCCCTCTTTCGTGGGTGTCTTTTTGAGATGTGATCAAAAACATGGTAAGTGCTGCTGCTGAGGGCCGTCCAGTGGAAAGACAGCTGGTAAAAACACGATTCTGTGTCCTCATCCGCCTTAGTCACCCGATCTGGCTCTTCTCCAGAGTCAAAAAGACCATGAAAAGTAAATGTTTTGAGTCAATTCGGGACATCGAGGCAGCCACGACAGTGCCACTAAGGGCAGGAAAGCGGGCTCAGAGCTGCTCAGAAAGTGGCAGTGGGAAAGATTGTTTAAAGCAGGGAGGGGGGATAATCCTGAGGGACGAATGGTAAGGTGTTTTCTACTGTAATAATTTAATAATGTCTTTTGCTGCCTTCCTTCCACAAGCTGGGATGCAATATATGATTTCCCAAAACATGTGGGAAGGCCATGCCTGTCCAGGGAAGGACAAGCGTCCATCTTCAGATTTCCCTGAGGGCCTGGGCCATGTCAGACACTGCGTGCAGACTGCCTGCTCAAGACCTGTGGTGTAGCCTGACCTCAGTGCCCCGGGAACCCTGGCTTGGGAGACCCCTTCCTCCCAAGATAGCACAGTTCCCAGTGATGCCCAAGTCCCCCCTGTGTTATGGTCACATCCCGCCATTTACTTTAAATCATCTCTAGATTACTCATGATACCTAACACAATGTAGATGATGTAAACAGTTGTTACACTGTAGCATTTAGGAAACAGTGACAAGAAAAGTGTCCACGGATACTTACACAGATGAAACTTTTTTCAAGTACTTTCCATTAGAAACTGGTAGAATCCATGAATATAAAACCCACAGTTACGGAAGACTGACTCTATGCCAAGCACGGAGGTCCTTCACTCCAATACATACCAACATGTTCTCTTATTTATTTTTAAAAATTTAATTTAATTTAATTTTTCATTTTTTGCTACTGGAGATCAAACTCAGGACCTTGCACTTGCAAAGCTGAACCACTGAGCAAAATCCCATAGCTCTTCTTTTAATTTAATGGGGAATATAGTTGTAGGGTACCTAAATTCAATCAGAAAGGGTAGAAATTCAACTCAAATTGAGTTAAACAAAAATGGAAATATATTCGCTGACACAACCATACACCTCAGGATAAGGGTCCTCTTCAGGTAGGGCTAGATCTAGGAGTTCAAAAGTAGACTTTAGGTCAAGTCTTCTCCGTCCCTCCTCTGTTTTCCTCTGTGTTGATTCTTTTTCCAACTGGCAGTGCTGGGCTCATATCCTTCAAATCCTAGAAGGAGAAAGGCATATCTTCCATCAAGTCTTGGAGCACACATCCCTTGGGTAGCACTGTACTGTTCAAGATGATCCAGTTCACTGACTGGTGCAGCCTGAGCTAAAATTTGGTGGTTCCCAAAAAACCAGGGCACTGTTACCAAAAGAGCAAATGACTAAGAGTAAGCGAAAATAGAGGAATTCCATGCAGTGTACAGTGGTGTCACCTCTGCTCCCAGGAACTGTGGCAAGATGGGTTTTGCGTTTTTGCAGTGAGTGAGTGAGCATCTTAGCTGCCTGTGAGGCCTCCCAGGTAGACACCCAGCCTGGCTCCGTCTTTCCTCTTCGGCAGGCAGGGCAGAGGCTGGGAACTTGTCCAGAACTGGCCTCTGCTATGTGGCCTGGGCCCTGGGGAAGGGACAGCCCAGCCTGGCCACCTCGGCCTCCCTCCAATGACTGCAGGACCCCTCTGTGGCGCTGGCTCTGTTCCTCAGGTCGTGCAGTTTTTAGTAAAACCCCCCATGTGATTTCTGGGCTGATCACTACCAACTGCCTCTGGCCGGCTGTACCCTCATTTCACAACCCTGTGGCGGGGAGCGGCAATCAGGGCTGTCTGTTGTCCGGCAGAAAAGGCAGATTAACAGACATTAATAGAGCCTTCCAGAACAGCGGCATTAAATAGCTACGCGCCATGATTGAATAGCGGCCGCTCTACATCCTAATTTCACTCACCAGGTGATAAGTTGATTTTACAGTTGACGATTTAACTTCTAACACATAAAAAATGTCATTTGCTTGAGTCAGCTGGAAACTTGCCTTCAAATATGGATTTCGGCTGCAAAGCACAGGAATCGGGGAAAGGCGAATAGAGATGGCCAGCCTCCCGTGTCAGAAGGCCCGGTCCAGCCTCTCTCCGGTCCACGGACACCACAGCCCACGCCTGGGCGGGGCGGACCCGAGGGAACACCACGCGGCTCCCCCCGCCCTGTCCCAGGGGAGGGCCCCTTTTAACAGCTGCGCTTCCGCATGGGTGACTTCACAAGGGCTCCGAGGAGGCCTTTCCAGGGCACCGGTGAAGACAGTGTTAGTACCTCGCATCGATTTATCTTCGCCTTGGGAAGGTGCACAGGGTTAACTGCAAGGTGGAGTCTGCAGCCACCCCCGAACGTGGACCCGGTGAAGAGCAGAACACCGGCCCGCGTGTCGTGATTTGCGTGTTCTGAGGGCAAATCTGCCCTGCCGGGCTGGCTTCGGTTCCCGGCCTGTCCTGGTGCAGCAGCGCCCTCTGCCGGGCTCCTTGCGTAATAGGCGAAGGCCTCTGAAGACCCCCGCGGGCTTACTGCTCGCTGCTGTTCAATCCGTGTTTGCAGAATTCGTGAGTGGGTGAGTGGGAGCAGCTGACCTGCTCTCTCTGACGGAGGATCTGGCATGTTTTTCTGTCGTTGCACCTGCTACACCCAGAAAGCGCCAAGCACCCCGGTTGCCTGTAAGCTCAGAGCTGGGACCCTGTCTGTGCACTGGGTTCTGGAGCCAGGTAGGGTAGTAAGGAGGGTGAGCGGGACGCTGTGCAGAGTCGCGATTGATGGACGAAACAGGAAACAGAATACGGGAAGCCCAGCTAGACGAGAGCCGGGAAGAAGCCAGTTTTTGTACCTCCTTCGGCGGCAGACAGGGCAGCCACAACTGGGGAGCGGACTGGAAGTGGAGGAAGGAGGAGGCCAGCGGCGGCCGGGAGCCAGGCGGCCCAGAGGGCAAGAGAGCAGCTCCTCAGCAAAGAGCCTCCCCTCGGTTCCTGGAAGTCCCAGGGACTGGTGGGCCAGCAGCGTCGCCCTAGGCGACTGTCCTGATCCAGAGAAAGTTCAGCCTCAGGCCGTCGAGACTAGCGCGCTGGTGTGGGTGTGGGTATGGATGGGTGGGTGGGTGGGTTGTGTGGGGTGTGAGGGAAAACACCCGTGTGCCGCGGAGCCCTGGGGGCTGTGGGTTGGGGCAAGGGTCAAGTAGGACTCTGGGTCGCTTCATTCCAGTCACTCAAAGCCTGGAGATGAAATGGACCTGCGATTCTATTACCCGTGTAAGCTCATGGCTGTAGTTAAAAAAAAAAAAAAAAAAAAAAAAAAAAAAAAAAAAAAAAAATAAAAGTAAAAATAATTCAGCATGCCTTATTTTCAATTTTTGCAAAGCAGCTAGGCTCATTTTCCAGGCTCTCATTTTCCCAACAATTGCTGGCCTGAGAATTTTGTGTTATCATTGCTGATTTGGGGAAAAACAAACAAACAAAAAATAGCCAGAAGACTTTTTTACCCCTCCTCATTCGAGTCTTCGCTAACAATTGTCAGTCTCTATTACAGGCCCAAAATAGATAGGAAAATTCAGAAGGTATTCCAGTTCCTATAAATATTACTTTCAAATCTAATTCTCACATGAGATTGTTTTCAGTCTCTCTCTGGTGCCTAGCTGTTGTGTACTAAGAGAAGTGGTATCAAGGCACCAGTGTTTGGAACTCATCTCTGGACTGAAATGACAGGAAGGTCTCCCAGGTGCCCTGCCTTTCTAGTTGAGGGGAAAGAAGAGGCTGGGTATGCAAAAGTTATTTCTGATTCTTTAATAATTCAATCATCCTAATTAAATTTCTTCTCTAATAGCTGCAGTGAAGACAAAATGAGTAACAATAAACATCAGAGGGCTCGAAAAGGGTTTGATAGAAATTTGGTTTCCTTTGGGTCTCCCTGCTCCCTCCTGCCCAGGTGAACAGGGACGCCTGTTATTTTCATTTAATTCAAACCTCGGCTGGACCCCAGAGAGCTGGGAACAAATGTGCTTTTGTGCCTCTGTGCCGTTCTGGCTCTCTCAATGACTACAGAGGAGGACAGCGTGGGCTGGTGGCTTTCCTTCTGATACGGAGTTGGCCTTTGGCAGAGAATCCTCCGGGTGAATCAGGCAACTCTTCTGACCAGAGACTTTGGCCCTCTGGGGCTTGCACAGGAGAAAGGGCCGCTTGAGATTAGTCCTTCCTCCCAGCCGATGCACATCGAGCGTGCAACCTAATGCTGCCCTAGAGAATTCCCAATACTCTCTCGCTCTGGCCCCCTGCAATCTCCTAGCATGACTTCATGGGGTGGCGGTGACCAGGAAGAGTAAGTGGCCTCTGGCTTCCGTCTCACCCTCCACTCTTCTTCAGATTCTTCCCCAAGCCAACCAGCGGGCCTGGCTAACTGGCCCTGACTCCCTCTCTTTCCTGCTGCTCCTGCTGCCCAAAGATGCAGCACGGACCTGAGCTGATGACGCTGTGGAACAGAGGCACCCACAGGGTCTGAGTGGCACCGCGAACCAGGACCTCCAAACATGCATGTGAAAGCCCTGTTCCTCTCACCGCTTGATCACGAGCACTGCACTCTGTGTGTGCCTTCTCGCCTGTCACCAGCCTACGGAGTGCTGGATCCTGTGTTGAGACTGGGACAGTCTCTTCTCCTCCCTCACCCATTAATCCTGTCTGCGTCACACAAGTCCTCAGTCTCCATCACTGTTAAATACCAGGAGATCTCTGCCTGCCTTCTGTCTGTCTGTCTGTCTGTCTGTCTGTCGTCTCTCTAGCTTTTTCTCCTCCCTCTCTCTTTTCGTCTCCCTCTCTGGTTTCCCACGAGTACATCTAATTAGCACTAACCATACACCAGTTCATGGTGTTTCTTTTCCCTCTGCCTCCCCCTACATACAATCAACCAAGGGCCAGAGGATTCTGCTTCAGAAACGGCTCTTGCCACTTAAACTGTGAGAATGTTTATTGGTTTTTCTTCCACTAAAGATGGTTGTCTTTATTTATGTCCTTGATGAATGTGGAGACTCACTTCTGTTGGCATGAAGAGTGGGGCACTAGCCTCTGAGCCCTGCCTGGGAGGTGGGTAAGGGGGCGACTGGACTGCCCTGGGCCCAAGGTTTCTTTAGTGACCGTTGTGGGACAGCGTCCCCTGGACGAGGCTCAGGTAAGCTCTGGGGTTGGCCTCCCTGGGTAGGGACGCAAATCTGGCTGAGGTCTGTGGCTGCAGCTGCTTTCTTCTATCCAGCTTTTACCACAGAGTTCTGGAAAAAGACAGAGGAGTTGCCATCCATTTGTCCAGCTCCACAGAGCAGCACTGTGGGTCCCACAGGAGGTGAGGAATGAAGGAGCTGAGGCTCGAGCCCAACCTGTAGCCCACAGGGACATCTCACGGGCTTTTTGGCATCCAGAATAGAATATGGAGGGGTTGTCCTCCAGGCAGCAATAGGGGAAACTGAGGAAAGGAGAGATCTACAGAAGAGGCACAGGGAGAAGATGAAATGGCAACAGGACCAGAAAGTGAAGGAGGAGAATTTGGTTCCTTTTTCTTACTTTGGATATTTTCCTTGTAGGCAGATACTTCGTGATTTTTATGGTGGGTCCAGCCCTTTAATTGATTACAGTTGAGCCAGTCTCACTCCAGAGAAACTGGTTTTCAAGAGAAGAAGGGAAGGACTGAGGCGATGGTTTGATGGCGGAACATTGGCTGAGAGCAGCCGTCATAGGGCACTGTGGGGCACACGCTGAGAGGGAGTCTGCCCCCGCCCAGCTTCTCTGCTTACTGGGCCCACGTGTGTCAGCGGCTATTCGTTCCTGGAGAGCACCTGTGCCTCTCTAGAACCCCGAGTGAAGGAGCAAAGGCAGGAGGGTTGGGGAGAGAAGGGAGGGCCATGCGTTAAGGTGATGGTGGGGGCAGCCAGGAAACCCCAAGGGGAAGGATTCCAGAGTGACCCCCAGGCTCCCTGCAGAAGGACACAGCCACTGGGCTGTTCCTGCTGCAGACCGCAGAGCACTTCTGTGCCTCCCAGACCTGTACTCGAGGACCTCGGGTCCTGGGGCAGCTGGGGCTCAAATCCTCTGCAGTGGAAGCCTTATCCTCATTCCTTGCACACCCCTTGGGGTGCAGCGTCCCGCAGCCTCGCCAAGTATGGTGGTCAGAAGGCTGGCTTGGCTCTGCTCCCCCAGCCCCAACACCTGACCCTCAGGACGGCTGCTGGGTGGCATCTTGCTGACTGAGGTTCAGCCCAGCTCAGCCCACTTTTGATGGCCAGGCTCAGACCGAAGAAGCAAGAACAGTTAGAAACAGGAACTCCAGAAACAAGCCTGCTGTGCTTCCACCTGGCATGACCTAGAGGGAAAAGATAAACAAAAGCAAAGGAAAGAGAATAGATTTAATTTCTGAGTTGCAAAGAGCTTATTTATTCCTTACGGAATTCTGGCTTGTTTATCTAGTATGTTTAAATTTTGTGTCATTGGTTAGTTAATTTCCTCCTTGCCGGGATACAATACCAGACACCTACAATTGAAAGGAGGAGAGGGTTATTGTGGCTCACAGTTTGTGGAAGTTTCAGTCCATAGTTGGCCAGCTGCAAGTCAGCATGGCTTGGCAGGAGGGCCTGGCAGAGGAGGAGCTAATGACATGGTGAACAGGAAGCACAGAATCAAGGGAGGTGCTCCAAAGGGAGAGAAACCACCCAGGCCACGCCCACAGCGATGCCTCTTCAGCCAGCCCCACCTCCGCAAAGGAAGTGAGCTATGACATTGTCACCGTGCCTTCACCTTCCAAAGGCCCCGCCTAGAAATGCAGGAGGTTCTTGGGGGACATAGATGTAGGTGTTAAAGTCACTGTTAAAGGTTTTTTGTAGTACTAAGAGGGCAGAATAATTAAAATAACAACAAGCCTAGGGTTTTCCTTGCCCCAAAATTCTTAAATTCAAAGATGAAAATTGGGCTGGACAGTGGGGCAGATTACTGATTCAAGAAAACAAGATTAAAAGCACGTAGCGACATGGACAAAAAATTGGCTGTCGATGGGAATAGTTCCCCCCAAAAAAGTTCGTGTTGGCAGGAAACGGAAATGCTCACTTGTAGAAATATTATTCACTTGTCTCAGATACACCCATGCAATTAATATTTGTAGAACTATTTAAAGAGAACAAGATGGCTCTGTATGTTGAAAGGGTGAGATATTCCAGGTTTTGATATAAATTCAGAAAGCATAACACACAAATGTTCCCAGTTTGTGTGTATATATTTAGTTTTTTTTTTTTTTCAGTGTTGGGGATCGAACTCAGGCACCGAGCCGCTGAGCCAAATCCCCAGCCCTGTGTGTATAAATTTGTATGTGTATTTGTGTGTGCACACACACACGTATGTAGATGTGTGTAGACATGTATTTGTGTATACATACATCTGCCTGTGGGTGCATGTGTGTTACCCAGGTGGACATGCACGTGACGTGCATGAGAATTTTCCAAACAATATATGAGAAACCATTGGTGGTGATTATCTCTGGGAAATGGAACTGAATATGTGGAAAGGAAACTCTCGTTTCATTTTAAACCTTTTGTACTGCTTGGATTTGTTTTCTATGTGCATGAATATATTATTTTCATAATAACAAAAGCCCCATGAAACTCCGCTTAGCTAATGAATGCATGCACAAAAAGAAAAATTGCCTGCATAGATACGTAGATTTTAGAAGCCCTAAATTTTGTACTGCACTGTAGAAAAAAAATTAAAATAAATATAGCAAGTGTCGGGAGAATGAATTACCATGCAAAAAAAGTGTCAAATATCCATGAATAAGTGATTCGCGCTCAGCGGCTGGCGATCCATAAAAGTGGCCTTCCACACAACTGGTGCAGGCCGGGAGGCAGGTCGGGGCCAGATTTACAGGCAGCATCCAGCATCGTTCTCCTTCTGAGCCGCTTGGCTGCTACCTCAAGGTCAGGCCGCGGAGGTAAAAGGAAGAGTGAGCGTTTAGAGCCGCTTCCCGTGGGAGCCGAAACGCAGAGGACATTTGACTTCGCGGAAACCTTCCGCTTGGCCCCAAGCTCTTCTCGGATTTTCGAGTGACTCTCTCCAGGGCTGAGCCTGACGTAGAAAACTGCACTGAAAACTACCGGGGGGGGGGGGGCGGGGGGG